GTGTGTGTGTGTGTGTTTGTTTGTGGGAGATATATTTTTATTCAGTTTGCTTTAAGGATGTATCAGGCATTATAGTCTCTCTACAGAAAGGGACTAGAATTGGACATATTTTCCGTATATATATTTTTTTATATATTAATGTGGATTTATAATATTATGCAGTGTTTATATAATTCTTACTGTTGACGTTAATATTAACACTACCGTAGAGTGAATTTGTAATTCTTAGTGTTTATATCAACACTATCATATGGTAGATTTAAAACCCGTGTTAAATTTACGTCGCAACGACATTAATGTTAACACCAACTAACAATGAGAATTATATAGACACTGTATGGTGTTAAATTCACACCGATACTTTTTAGAATGTTCGGAACGGTTCAATAAGTGGTTCAATATTTATTTAAAAAAAATACAATTTTATAATTTAAATGAAAATTTTCTAATTCTATCTTTATTAAAAAAAATATGTTTTCTTATTGAAATAGTTTTTTATTCAGGTGTTCTAAATTGTCGTTGAGCTCTTTGTATTACTTTCAAACACATAAAAAAATTATAATTTTTAAATAATTTTTTTCTATCTTGTTAAAAAATACGTATAAATACAGCCTTAACATTTTTTGTATATCCGAAATTACACGGTGCACTTACGATTAAATATTACTCTTGATGTGTTAACAGGAATAGTGTAATAAATCTTGTGTCTTTTTTATTACTTTCCTATCATGCTGTTTGGATTAGATAATTCGGGTACGTTGATAACGCGTTGTTGGGGTCTTTATTGGATTGGATATTTAAATAGCACGGATATTGTGCACATAATTTATCATTACTATCTTTCATAATTGTGAGACGCTCCGCCGGTGTGTCGGATTAATTTCTCAGTAGTAAAAAAAGTACAGTATCAATAGTTTAGGAATAATTTACATCTTAAGGAGGTTGTAAGGGTACAAAACACATATATTAATATTTTCGCTTTAAACAAACTACATACATTTGAAAGTTGTGTTCATAACATTCTGGTTTTATTGAGCAACACATTTTTATAGGTTATTTATTTTATTTGTTATTAGTTTTATATTGTTATAAACAAAAATTGTTAAAATAATAAGAAAAATCTAAATGTTTTTACCATATATAAATATATTAAGTACTAAACATGACTTATGCAAAGATTCACCATTAGTTTATAACAAATAACAAATTTTATTTATTTACTGAACAATTAATGTCTGCATCTCAAGATAATTTTACAAAATTATTATTGTTGAATTCCTAGAGTATTTATAAAAAAATTGAGATTTTTATCATTATTTTATAATACATTTTCATATATTTATATTAGAGTACAAATTTGAAAAATATTACTATTTATTTAAATAACTTTTGATCCAGATGGTCAGTTGTTTCTACTTTTTTTGTATTATTATTGAATGAAATTTAGAATAGTCTGTAATTTTTTTTCAAGTAGTTCTTAACATATTGCATTTGCCTTACTACCTCCTTAATTAAAGATTTATTAAATTGACGTCTGTCTGTATGTGTGTGTATAATTAACACGTTCACCACTCCGTATCATAACTGTTATAAAAAAGAATTAATGTCGTATATACGCGCTAATACACAATAGACGCATTTTTTTTTGCCGAAGAACGCTTCTGACAAATCCTCCTTTATTGTTACGCCTCTATTTGCCAGCCTTCGACTAAAGACGCGCGTCGCGACGCTTCGACATCGCGCCGTGTTATTGCGGCAAATGTAATCCGTTTCTGCGACTCTGCTATTTTTATTACTTCATTCATGAGTTGTAAATTGCGGAATTATTGGCATGCACACGGGTCTTGTCAGCAGCTACATGTCGAACCTTACGAACTCCAACGCGCGTGTAAGAGCGTATAAATAATTAAAATATGAAAATGTTTGGCGTGGAGGATTTACATTTCGGTCTTTGGGATTGCGTATTCGCGTATATTCGTAAGAGTAAGACTATGAAATTAGATTTTTTATTAAATCCCCTTTAATCGATGGTAATCTGTAATGTTTTTTCCATGAATTGATTTATCGTATCTCTTTGTCTCCCGTTGTGTCTTTTCTCTCACGCAGCGCTGCTTTCTTCGTCAACATTGGTTCCCTTCACGCTTGATATGACTCTTTTTAACTTTACTCTGCCGTGCTTTTTGTACACAAAACAAAAACCTGTACGTGTTCAGACTTTGTGAGAGAAAAAGGAAAGGATCAAATTTGCAGGAAATTGTACAGAGCGCAGCTAAAAGGAACAGATCCATACAGGGCGCCCTAGAATTGGCGGAAAGTAGACATACGTAACATTATTCCTTATGAGTTTCAAAGAGAATTTTCTCCGAGCAAAAATATCGAGGGGAGATTATTATTTTTTGCGATTTGTTCACCTCTTAAACACGCTATCTCGCCAATACTAAATCTTGTAACTAATCTCTTAACTTTCGAATTAAAATACCGTTAAATCAGAAAGTCCGCTTTTTAGATTTTATCTGAAAGGAACGAGTTTGCTGAAGTATCTAAAAATTTAGGTAGATATAGATCTGAAAAAAAATATACATAATTTTGTTGGACCATCAAAATAATTATGTAAAAAATTTTAATATAATAAGCTAGTGTTGCCAAAAGTTTTGACATTCTTAGAGAAAAACGTAGTGAGATGATACAATTAAATACGTAGACTTGACAATAATTTTGTTGAATTATAGAAATAATTATGTTAATAATTTTGTTAAAATAATAACATATTTTGTGGACAAAATATTTTTAGAGCGTTATGTTACTATTATGTATACCAGGAAAAAGGACATGTTTAGTGGTAGCAATTATGTAAAGGTAACAACATACAAGTTTTATGAATGTTGAATAACCTATTGAATAAACTACTGAATAAACGTTGAATAAACTATTTTGTAAGTGCAATAGCTATGAAATAGTTTATTTAACAATATATGTATATGTACATTAGTTCTACATATAACACTTGCATAATTATCACCTTTATAACTTCCACCACTGTCTTTTTCTCTAAGAGTTGCAACTAGTTTGAATGTTCTACATAATTATTTTGATGGTCCAACAACATTATATTTTCAGCTCTGTATTTAGATACTTCAGCAAAACCATTCTTCTCATATTCAATATTTCGCAATAATTTAAATCTCGGTTTAACTGACTTTTTATCCTTTTCTAATTCTGACCATTAGGAAAAGAGAGAGTAAATTAAACTGGGATTAAAGTTAATCTGCATCCGCAGAAATGGACATAGGTCGCTTCGGCATGATTGAACCACAAATCTCACTCGATGAATCACGCTGCGTCCGTCTTCCGCTTTTTTTCCCCGCTGCTTTTCCCATGCATATCCGGTGCTTAGACATGCGGTTTATCGTTCGCTGATAATCGCTTGTGGGATATATCCGAACGCCAAAATGCAATCGTTCGCAATTCGCAATCTAATTTCCTAGCAACACGCACTCGCGATTCCACGCGAAGAGGAGGATGCGCAAACGCGGGCGCATCGGCGCGTGTCGCCC